TCGGGTGATCTGACAGGTCTGTGAGTTGAAAAGACCCCTGTGGTTGCCAGGTGGAGGATAAACTTGAGCAGCCAGGGGCTGGAGGTGGGAGAGCAGCTTGGGGGCTGCTGGGGAGGTGGGCCTGAGGGGAACCATGGCAGCTTGAGCCAGGATGGTGAACATGGAGGTAGAGGGAGAAGAGAGAGTCTACAGGAGGGGAAATGATAATACAACCAACAGTAGTAATAATAATAGCCAACATTTATTGAGCACTTACTGTATGCCAGACCCTGTGGCTTGGGGCTATCCAAGCATTATTATCTCAGTTATCTTCACACCAACCCTGTGAGGTCGGTTCTATCATTATTTCCATTTAGCGGTGAAGGGGCTGCAGGGCTCTGACCAGGAGGCGCTTGGTTTATGATTGTCACTACTGGGATGGGGTCGGGGGGAGCTGGAGGAACCATTCAAAGACCTGAGGACCCCCGCACAAGGATCATGGGAAGCAAGGGCACACTGTGGTGGAGGGCCCTTGGGGAGGCTGGGAGGGGAGCACACCCAGCCCCTTCTCCACTGCTCATGGGTGTCCTTCATATGGTACCATGACTCCAAGTGGGGCCCTGGCCTGGGGGAGTGGGCTCTGAGGTAAGGGGGTGCACTGCCTAGAATCCCCTGATAACAGCTCTGTCCCCCAGCCCTCCGCATGCCAAGCCACGACTCCAAGAGCCTTGTGTCAGCTGGGACCCAAGGGAGGAAGAGAAGGCTCTGGCTGGGGGTTTCATTCCTGCCACCAGGTAAATTCCCTTCCCAGGGAGCTGATGGGGAACCAGTTTTTATCAAGTTCCAAAGACGCAGTGACGGGACAGAGAGACAGACACAGGACAAGGGTCAGAGGAGAGGCAGGCAGCTGGGTGGATGGAGGCGGGGCTTCCCCAGCTTGGGGGCCATTGGCACTATTTTGGCATTTGGAAGGTCAAGTGACTCAGGAACAGATGTTAACACACACACACACACACACACAGAGGACACTCTGGCCTGCAGCACAAGGACCACCACTGGCCCTGATGGGACACAACAATGTCCCTGATGATGACATGCAAATCGGAGACTAAAGCTGAGAGCCTCAGACCTGAGCTGGCCCCCAAGGAAGACAGGAGGGCAGGTTTCAAACCAGGCAGCCCCAACACTCCCCTGCCTGCTCTCACACCTCTATGACCCCCTGCCCTCTGCCTGGTTAATTCCTCCCTGCCCCTCAAAGCTTGCCCCAGCATCACCTCCTCTGGGGCAGTTCTTATTCTCATGGCCCCAGGAGGTCCCTTCATAGCCTTTCCAAACTGTACCATCATCATCATTGTCCTGTGTGTGTCAGGGGCACCACCTCCCACCCCAGAACACACGTGGAGCTCATCCCGTCCCAGCTCGTCCCCCCGACCCCTCATCTCCTCAGGCTGGTGCCCAGAGCACAGGAGAGGGGACCAGGGGAGCAGCTGCCCCAGCCAGCACTGTTGCCCCTCGGGAACTCAGATGGGCCCTCCCACCCCGACTACGCAGCCCCTATCTCCAGGGCCAGCACCAAGGCCCAGGGTAGGTGGCAGCTCCTCAGGGAAAGGTGACCTCACCACCCATCCCACACACTGACAGTGGCCTGGGCAGAACAGCATCTCTATTGAGGATAGGAAATGCCCTCAATGAGGCCACTCCAGAGTCCCGGAGACTGAGGCAGTGGGCAGGAGGCAGCTCTGGAATCTCATCTTCCTCAAGCACACACACACCCGGGATGCACAGGACCTTTCTCTCACATATACACAGCACGCCGACACACACGTGGGGTCTCACACACACGCCACACACCCTGTCACACACATGATCTCACAGTCTCTGTCTTATACACGCCCTCACATACACACGGTGTCACACACAGGGACCCCCACCCCACACAGCCTCCTGCCTTATGTGTACACACGTACACACACACACACACACAGCCTCACACACGAGCTGCACAGATGCAGTTTCACACTTGCCACACACAGCCACACACTCGTGCAGACGCGCTCACCTCGACTCTCATGCACTGCTCAAACCTCACACACAGCATCTCTCTTACACATGCAGGCTCTCTTCCTTATACACACTCTCTCCCACACAGTCTCATTCTCACACACGCACAGTCCATCCAAAACACAGAATCCACCTCTCTCGCACACACAACCCCTGACACAAGGACTCAGGAAGCTCACACTGAGCCACAGTCTCACCACACACACACACACACATACACACACACCCTGAGTCTCACATTTTTATTCTCACACACACAAGTCTCTCACACACAATCTCTTTTACACAGAGCCTGTCTCACACATACAGCCTTTCCTTCATACACATATGCAATATCACGCACAACGTGCTGGTCTAAATCTAGAATAACGACTTGAGTCCCGACCCGCCTGTGTGAGGAGGCGCGGGGGAGGGGTAAACAAAGGTGACAGCAGAGGCGGCAGAGCAAAGACGGAGGGGGAGGAGGGCGGGCAGGCGGCTGGTCTCTGCGCAGATGAGCCGCAGAGAGGCAGCGCAATGCAGCTAGGCCAGCCGGGCGGCAGGCAGGAAGCCGGGGTTCTAATCCCGCTTTGCCCTCCTCAGCTCCTGAGTGCCCTTGGGCAGGTCCCTCTCCCTACGGGCCTCAGCGTCCTCAACTGTTCCCCGAGGGAGCTGGAAGGGACCACAACCTTCCTCGGAGGCCACTGGGAAGAGAAGGTGGCTCAGACAGGCTGAAGGGGAGCACCCACCAGCACCCACTCCTATCCCAGTACCGCCTCGCCCCGACCACCGGGCGCCCACTCTTTTCCCTCAGAGTCCGCTCTTCAATGAGTATTCACTTCATAGATTTTTTTCAAGACTTTTCTGCATGGTTTTGCACACCAATAGAACCTCAAACCACACTAGCTGGCCCATTTGTCTGCCTTGGGTGAAGGCCACCCGCAGCCTAGAAATGTCCAGTGGGAGAAGAGGGCCAAGGGAGGGGATTGGAACATGCCCCACTGCCCCCTGCCTGCCCTGAAACTCGGGACACTGATCAGAGCCCCAACACTGAGTGCAAGGGGTGGGGCTGGGAGACCCAGCTCTTGCTTGGGAGTCAGGAGACTGGGCCTAACCCTTGCTTCTGGGGCCAAAGTTGGTGGGGGAGCTGCTGTCCAAGGTCAAGTGTGGGCTGAATGGGCAGCTGCTGTAACCCAGGCCTCTGCCCACCCCCACCCCAACATGCACTGGTTCAACCTCCCATCCCCCTCCTCCAGCCCCTCCCCACAGCTCAGCCACAGCCTCCAGTTACATAACCCTCTAGCTGTGGTGGCCTCTGACAGGAAAGGGAAGGGGAGGGAAGCCCTCTGAGGGTCCCAGTCCACTCTGGGGAAAGGCAGGAGCTGGTAGCCAGCCCAGGGGAGGATAGGGTCCCAGGAGAATTGAGTTCTAGTCCTTCTTGGCCTCTTGCTCCCTGGGTGACCTTGGTCAGGGTCCTCAGTGGCTAAACACAGGCCGGGCTCTCTCCCTATTGCCTCCCCTTATAAACATAGTCGTTCTAGAATTCAGGGTATCAGACTGACCCACTATCCACCCCCCACATGCCATACTGTGTTTGATCTCAGTTAACAGATCTACCAGGTCTGTGCCTAAACATAGATTTTCTCTGCCCATGGGCACTTGAGGGCCCCCCAAGTCTCCTCCTTCCACTCTCCTCTGCAGCTTCCTAGCCCTCTCCCCTGGCTCTGGCTTAGGCTCCAGTGGGCAGGAGGGGAGAGATGCGAAGTAAAAGACAGCAGGGCAGAGGCAGTGCTTTGCCTGGTAGGGGGTGAGGGCAGCTCACGGATGCAGGAGGGGCTCTCCTTTAACTTCTCCACTCTACCCTTCCCCTACAGGCCTTAGAGTCTCTCTTTAGGCCTCTAAGGACAGAGCCCAGTGAAGGCTGGGAGTGCCTCTTCCAGGGTGGATGGCTGCTACCAGTTCCTCCTTTTGGGCTCAGTCACTTATGGTCCAGCAGCAAGGCCCTTGAGAGTTCACCAGGCCCCCTCCCCCATTTTACAGATGAGGAAACTGATCCAGAGAGGCCATCTGAGGGACCAAGGTCAGTAGCAGCGTATCTTTTTTTCCTGGAAATAAGCGGGTATGGCTAAAGGGGAGTGGCCCATGAGGACACACCCACCTCTCACACACCTTCTCCTTATAGGTTCCCTCTTAAGGACTCCCTCTCCCCACTACCGGATGTCCCAGAGGAAGCACTGGCATAAGCCCAGTGACCCACTCCAACACCCTCCCCTTTCGACAAGGAGGAAGGACAGGCTGTGATCTCAGGATCAGGGGCTCAGAGGGACCACCCCTACCCTACAGCCCAGCCCTCCACCAACTTCCAAGCCATGGAGATTAGCCATGAGATGCCCTCTTGACCACCTCCTCAAAATTGCCGGAGGCTGCTCCCTGAGGAGGGGGTGGCTGTCTCAAGCTGCCCAGCAGGCCTCAGGCCTTTTTGGGGGACCATGGCTGGCTCCAGATGCCCCTTTACCTGGACAGGAGGAAGGGCTCCCAGCTTCCCTCCCCACACTAAAATCTCGAGGGCAGTTCATACTTTGACAGTGCACCTCTGCAAAGAAACAAATGTGCACGGGCAATCGCTCATGCACACTCAAACATACACACATGCTCACTCATTCCCACTCCACACTTTACCCACCCAAATACACTCCACCACACTTACATAAATATGCACACACAATCTACTCATACACACAAACACACCCATTCATACTCATACATATTAAACTTGGCAACACACAGACTGACATACATAGAAAACCAGAACCCCGGCAGACACCCTTTCTCTCTTACCCTGGTATGTGCACACATGCGCACACACCCCCTTTCGATTCTGAACTCCCTAGGCGCCAGTTCTGCGGTCCACCCCTGCCCGCGGGGAGGCACAAGACGCTGCCTTCCCGCCCCGCTCTTCTGATGGGTAAGTTGTCACTTACCCGCGCGTAGCGGGACGAGTAAGGGTCCTCGAAGAGCGCCCAGATGCGCGGCTGCCAGCGGCGCCAAAAGCCGCCAGGCCGGCCATCGGGGGAGTCACTGAGCGCCAGGCGCTTGGTCATCTCCAGCTCGTCCTCGCCGTCGCCCGAGTCTCCGGGGCCCTCGGCGTCCGCGTCGTCGGCGCTGTTGTCAAGGGGCGCGCCGCCGAAGCTGTCCAGCGCCTCCTCGGCGTCGCGGTGCTGGCGGTACGTCATCCAGCAGCAGGGCTCCACGTCGGTCTCGTCGATGCCCCAGAAGGCCAGCTCCTCCTCGTAGAGCGGCCCGCACACGTCGGCCGGGCAGTGCAGCTTGCCCGTGCGGTAGTAGTTCAGGATGTGCGCGAAGACGCCGGGGTGGCGGTCGAAGAAGAACTCGTCTGCACGCGGGTCATAGTCGAAGTGGCTGTGGGCGTCGGGCTCCGCCAGCCAGGCGAGCCGCGTGCCGGGCAGCGTGCGCAGGGTCGAGCGGTACGTCTGGTGGCGCGTGCCGCCCACGTTGATCACGATGCGCTCGCTCTCGTCCCCTTGGCCCATCGCGGCGCCCCCTTAGGCATGGCGCGGCCCAGCGACACCCATGGGAGCGGCCGCCAGGGGGAGTTGGCGCCGGGGAGGGGGGCGCGCGGCCTCTTCCCCCCTCCCCCCAGCCGTCGAGGGGAACAGAGGTCCGCGGCTCTGGCCACCCCAACGAGCGAGCCAAGCCTCTCTGGGCGCTTTCTGTTGGGTGCCGGTCCAGGGGAGTGTGAGGGATCCCAGGGGTCTCTAGGCGCCAGATGTGGGAGGGAGCTGGTCCGGCAGCGGAGGAGGCAAAGGAGGAAAGAAGGGAGGGAGAAAGGGAGGGAGAGAGGGAGGGAGAAAGAGGGAGGGGGGCGGGCTCAGCGGTGAGCCCCCGGAGGAGGAGAAAGAGGGTTGGGGGGCCGGTCTCCCGTTCCCATCTCCGCGGGAAAATGGAGAAATAGGCACAAAGCTTTTGGGGGGAAGGTCAGCCGCTCCCAGGGCCGGACTAGAGGCCAGCCCCCGGGAGGGGGAGGGGAGGAGACCGGGCCGGGAAATTCGCGCTCCTCTGTGCGGTG